TTATAAGTTGCTGTTTTTCTCAGTGGTAAACACTGACAGTCTGCTAGTGGGTTTGAAGAGTCCTGCACATTGTCAAATCCAGCTTGTAGCACTGATTGAGAGTAACCCCAAGGAGGACATAGAGGAAACAAAAAGAAGCTCTGAACCCCACTAAATTTGTGATTATAGACAGTCAGGTATCTACTGTGAGAGGACCATAGAGGATGACGGAGCACTGGATATCTTGACAATGCTGGTAACTAAGTATTAAGCAACTTACTGGCACTGAATCCAAAGCTAGAACAAAAATATGGCAACAAGTTATGAAGATTTGCCTCTGCTGGTGATTTAAAAAAAACAAACCCAAAACCAAACAAAAACCCCACCCCACCCCCCCAGAAAAAACCCCCAACAAGTTAGGAGACTGGGGTTTTTTTATTTTTTGGTGGGGTTGGTTTTTTGTTGTTGTTGGGGTTTTTTTGTCTAGGCTGTTGCATGTGATTGTTCAGTCTTGTCTTAGCACTCATAAGGCAAGTATGTACCATTCATACTAAGGTACATTATTACTACATGGTTTGGATGCAACAGTGTAGGACAGATGCCTGCAGGCCTATTTTGAACATTTATGTACTACTTAAAAAAGAATCAGACCGCTAACATTTTGAGGCAATTTGAAAAATCAAAATCTTCCACCTATGCTGAAAGTAGCAAGCAGACTGACACCACAGAAGAAAAATGAGTCCTTGGAGAGATCGGCTTAAACTTGGCCTCTGCAGCAGTTTCTTCTGCTGCATTCAGTGGCAGCCACACTGCTCAATCTTTCAGCAGGTACTAGAAATGAAGGATGAGGGTGTCTTTTAATGATAGGTAGAAGATTCAAAAGGGTTTGGCTGTCAGAAACATCTGTGGCTGTGTTGGCCAAGCCAAACTTGGCAAGGGGAGTTCTTGAACAAGTATATGCAACTCCCTTTTTTTCAGCTACAAATGCCAGGCCTGAGAGTCACACTGTATTATAACTAATGCAGCAGTCTTTCTGTTCTGAGTTCCTGTTAGTGTGCTCCATTTTAAAAATAATAGGGTTTATTCTTGTTCAAAGGTCTGCTTAGGCTGGAAAGCATCATCCTCGGGCATACTGAGTGGAGTTGTCTGTTTCTTTTTCAGTTTCAGGATCTGTGACTTTAAAATAAATATGCTCACAACACAGTATAACCCCCCCCAAAAAGGACATCAAGATTTAGTTCAAAATTAATTTTCTGAAATCCTTGGTGACTTAGGGTTTTTTAGCAATGTGAGATCTTGAATTATTATGTAAGGCTTATTTTAAACTAGAGGATGCAGAAATATGCCTGTGACTGTGATTTGATAGCACATCTTGGTAATTGCACGTGGAGAGAGCTGCGCTAAGACCTGCTTTCTCTAAAGGAGGGTCTGTGGAGGCTGATGTTACCTTCAGTTTTTGGGTTTTTTTTTCCTCTAACCTGGAGTTGCTGGTGGACTGTCAGAGGCAGGAGTTTTTCCCCACCCTGCCCTGGAAGGGGCTAGAGATGAATTTGGAGCTGGTCTTGAGGAATCCATGCAGCAGCTCTGCTCCACAAAAGCAGAAGGTAGGAAATCAGCACAGAAGAGGACAGCAGGAGTCTTCCTGTAATGAAGTTTGAACCATTATCCACTGAAAGAACAGTTTGAAATAATAGCTAAATATTTAATAAATTATTTTAAAACATTTTACTGTAAATAATAAGTTAATGTGCCCATATTCATCTGGCACTTTTTAATTGCAATTAATGATCTTTGTTGCTTACTCACTTAGACAATTTACTTGTCTTTATCCAGTCTTCCTTTACATCTGGGAAAATAATAAATTGAATGGCTTTGTTCTGAAATCCATTTCTAAATGAATACTTCTGTGGATTTACTATTAATTTCACATTGGCTTTTCTCTAATACATTGCTACTTTTAAAATGAAGGACTCTGTACTTAGTGCTTTTCTTCAGAGAGACTTGACAAGCACTCTGTCATGATGCTGGCAGGCTTGGAGCCTCTAATGGGACCTCGTGTTCTCATTTCACGTGTCTGTCAGGGTTTTAAAATACTGTATTTCTAGAAGGTGACACTGGGTGTTTCAGCTTGACCTGCGTAGCTTGCACTTGGTCAAATTTTGGAATAGCACGTTGCATGCTACTAATAACTCATAACCTAAATATTAGGAAATACTGTCTGCCCTTATTTCAGGTAGCATATGTGCATTTGTAACGAAGCAGTGCTACTCCATTGTTGAGTAGGCACCATGAAAACACTGGCTGCTTGTTAAAATAATTGATAGATACAGAAGATAGTGATGCTGTAATTGTCTTCTCATAATTAAGTTAAATGCAAATTAAATTAAATGCAGGTAGAAACTTGTGAGTCCTTGCACATATGTTCTACTTGGTGTTAATGACTGTGGCTTTGAGAGTGTGCCTCAGACTGTGTTTTGTGAATTTCTTCATGTGTGTGGTAGCTCTTCTGTAAAATTCGAGTTGAGATTCTGGGCAAGACCAAACATCTGTCTCGCCTAACACCTTGTCCATGACTCCAAGTGGGTATCAGAGGAAGCGTGTGAACGCAGCAAATGCGCATCATACTTCTCCTGCAGGCTCTCCTAGGTTCCGACTGTTTCCACTGTGGTAGGTTTCCAAGCCAGATGGGGGTTTCTGCTTGTTTAGTTAACCCTCCAACAGATTTCTTCCATGTATTTGTCCAGCTTCCTCTTGAACCCAGCTCTTGTCATCCTTGACGTCCTTTGGCAAGGCGTTTCCCACAGTTTTATTCCCCTCTGCACAAAGAATCATTTCTCTGTTTGCTTTGAAAACTTTTCCTCTTGGCTTCATTTTGAATACGTCTATTCTTGTATTGAGAAAGATGAGGAACAGTCCATCCCTGTGCACGTTCTTCATGCCAATAGTGTTTTTGTCAACCACTATCGTATTTCTTTCATAGCTATCTCAGCTGCAGGCTTGAAGAGTCTTGTTCTTAGTACTAAGACCTAACACCTCTTACATGCTTCTGCCAACAGGTGGCTGGTTTTACTAGTCAACTTTTTAAATGCTTTAAGATATTTCTGGGTATGATGTAAGCGTATTACTATACTAGTGTGTTAAGCATTAATTAAGTATATTACTATACTAGCCTGAACATAACATGACCTCAGATACAAGGCAGCTTCAGTTCCCACAGAGTAGCTATAAAATCGCCAAGCTAAACTCAAAGTGCCATCTTGGCAATGTGCCCCTCCTTGGTTTGCTTTCCAGATATGCTGCTCTCCTTCTTCTGCAGACCTGTGAATTCAAGACATGCCAGAGAGAGGTCATGGCTAGGTTGATACCTGACCTTGACTATTGCTGGTAGTAAACTATGTTCAGGTTTAAATTTGACTCTCCTGAATAATCTTCATAGTGAATATTTTCACCTCCTTTGATCCTTTTTTCAGTTTCTAAATATGCTGAGCAGCATATGAACATGTATTGGTATCAGTCTTTCTGGGACCTTGTGGATGCAATCTGTTCTCTGTTGGAAAAACTCTTCCATGCATTGCTTTCTTGTCTTTAATACAAGAAGTGGTGTATTTCCTCTTTTTCCTGTAATTCAGATTTTTAAGAACCTTTTGATGGATCTGCATGTCTGTTGCTTCATCAGGGAGCTGCAACTACAAGCACTTATGAAGGCCCAGTTGTAAATGTGCTTAAAGCACAGACCAAGAAAGTTGGATTTTTTAATTTTTTTTTTTTACATTTTCCTTTTGGTGAGTGGGGGGAAGCACCTAACATTTGGTCAACGTGTTATGTGACTATACTCACACTCAGTGAGTGAACTTGTTCTATTCTGTGTACTACAATATGTAAGAACAACAAAAGTAACCATGAAAATAAAATCCTGGTCTAGCTGAAGTTTTTAAGAGTATTTCTGTGCTCAGTAATGAAATCTGGATGTGATTTTTAGCTGCCTTATTTTATTTGTGCCTCATACCTCATGAAGCAGTATAAAAATGGAGTAACTGTCAAATAAGTGACATGCACTTTCTGATTACTTTCAATACCATATTTCTTTTTCTTCCTAGAGAGCAAATCAAAAGGCCTCCAGTGGGTGATAGATACAACCATTGCGTATCCCAAAGGTGAACCTATAGACATCCAAACTTGGATTCTTGGCTACCGACAACCAACAGTTACACATGTACATTACAGGTAGGAAATAAACCTTCTACTCTTACATTGAACTAAAATACTGAAAAACAAGTATTCACAAATTAGTAACATCATGTTTCAGGATATGGGAAATAAGTAGCAATGTCTTTTGTATGTACGTCTCATACAGGTGGGCAACTCCTATTATCTGAACACAACACAGTTTTCTTTTGAAAAGTTCAGTGACCATTCCATATCTGAGCACATTGAAGTTTTTTACTAATGTCCTGTGGCTGAATATAGTTATGGGGAATGTATTTGATGGTTAGGTCATCTTTTCCACTTTAACGTTAAGGTGCTGGTAAACCCAACTTGATTTTTAAAATTTTTTTCTAAGTAAAAAACACTGTGTTATTAAATAACAGATTTCCTGAGAGATAATTATATATTGTATTCAACTTTCTGACAAAGAAATGTCAGCTTTTTCACTCAAAGTATACTCTTAATAGTTGAACAGAGCAACACTCTGGAAATAGTAGGAAATCTCATAGACACGTAGGATGGGATACTATTAAAACTTTTCACCTCAGCAGTTCTTTGTCTCAAGACCTAAACTAATGGAGACAGAAGTTGCATTTTGCTTTTGGTTTGCAGTTAATTGCAAGTTTGAAATCTCCAGAAATATTTTAACACCCTTCCTATACCAAATAAGTTGATCACATTTTATCCCAAAATTGCATTATTTTGTCTTAATTCCCTTTTACTGATTTGGGGAGCTTTTAGACTTTCAGTAGACTTTCAGATAGCCATGTGTGGATCCCATGGGTGGCAGTTTAACTGGGAATGACCTTCTCCAGCATCACTGCTCTGTCAGTGTTGTGTGATGCAGAGTACAGGCTGCTCACTGGAGCTCCTTTCCACAGTCATGTTTAAATCTGTCCCTGCTTTTTATAGAATCTGCCTTCAAGTTTTTCCGAAGGTGAACATACTTACATCCTAATTTATCTAAGATATCATAATATCTATTGTGCTTTATTCAGGTCACCTTAGTACTCTCTCAGATCCCTGGGGTAATTGCAAGTTGAATGTATTTAGAATTTTACTAAAGAGTATTTCCAAAAATACTTCCTTTAAAAAAGAGAGAAAGTTATCCTAAGTTGAATTAACTTCCTGCTTTTAAACGTGTGTATTCAAACCCTATTTTTGAGCATGACCATAAAGATGATGTAACCTTCCTGGCATTGAACTTGAATGCTGCCGTTCTTGTAGTACTAAAAGTCTAAGAAAAAAATATTAGAAAATGTTTGTTGTTGAGTGTAGGTTTGTTGTCTTCCTGAGGGTCTAAATTACTGGTTTAGTGTTTTAGTAGACAGGGGCAAGCCTCTTAATTTTTTTTTTTTTTAATTTTTTTTTAATAACCTCGAGTTGTTATGGCTGACCCTGTAAAAACATTTGAAGTATGTCCCAAATGGAAACAGATGCAGCAGCATGTCTCTGAAGGCTGAGAGCTGGATGTAATACCTCTGAAATAAGAACTGAGTGTCTTGGTTTTAACTGGAGCTTTGGCTAACTCTCCAGTCCTGGTAATTCTTCAGCTGGCACAGCAGGTTTAGGCACGTGGTCTCTGGACCGTAAGGGCTTTAGTGGGATGCAAAGTAGCGATTCTTAAAGACGCATTGAACAAGGTACCCTGGCTCTGACGGCGAGCAGCAGCAGCAAAGACGCAGGAAGGCAGCCCACACGTCATCCCTCTGCACGTAAACACGCGGTGGCTGGAACATGTTCTGAGCAGGCGTCACATCTGGATCACTCTTTTGATAGGTGCTGATGGACCTGGCCTTCATGAACTTGTTTAATACCATTTTTTAACCTGCTTCTACTTAGACTTTTACAATTTCCGGTGACACAACGTGTAGCTGTTCTTGAGCGTGGCAGATGGGACCACTTCCTTTTTGCCTGTGTTCTCCACCTGATGCCTTCAGTGGGTGCACCCTGGTTCCGATGTCCTGCCAGTGGTGGATGAATCATTCCTCAGTGATGCTCTCCATGACCTGTGATTTTTCACAGAGCTTCCTCATGTCCTGCCTTAGCTGTCCCTGCCCCCTCCCAGCGTGAGGAGACTTCATCTATTTGGTGTCTCCTTACACAATGCCTTTCCCTGATTACCTTGTTACTTTTGTCTGCACCTTCTCTGGTTCTGCTATAACTAGTTTGGGAGTTGATTGACATCCTGAATCCCCCGCAGTGATTTCAGGATCGCTTGCTAGGGCAATCGTAGCTAATTGTAGGGCCTGTGGCAGTGTGTCTGTAGTTGCTGGTGCTTTTTTTTCTTCCCCAGTGTTCATTGCCTTGCATTTACTGATGTTTAATTTCCTGTGCAACTACTGTCAGGTCCTTCGGCAACTCTTCTCTTTGACTACCCAGAATAATTCTATACCAAAAAAGTTATATTGCTTTTGTATCCTTTTTTCTAGATTTAGCGTATCATCTAGCTATTATATGCTAAGACCTTTTAATGTATCTGGAATTAGAGCTGTAGATTGGAATGAATACAGTGAATTTTCACTTTCAGTGGTTTTGACAATAAAATTTTTTTAAGATGTTTTTATGTGGCTTTAAAAATATTTTTCTGCTTTATGTGAAGGATATATTTATCCATGGCAGGATTAGCAGAGAGCAACTGAACAGCATGTGTGCATTAATTCACTCATGTTGCATCATCCCTTTCTATTGCTTATACAGAAATTTTCCTGTTGGATTCCCTTCAGGGCAACTGATTTTTTTTTAATTCTTTTTTTTCCCCAGATCATCTGACTTTACTCATTAGGGATTTTTTTTTTTAGCAGAATGCTGTAATGTGATGGGCACCCTCAGGGTTTTGACAACTTTAAATCATGTATTGATGAGTTGTTGGTACCACTGAGAACCTGTGAAGACAGAGTACATGCCTGGGAAACTGGGGGTGGCAGGCAGGGAAGAGTAGGGAACAACCATTTTCTCCTAGAGGGTTTCTGGTGTTAAAGAAAACCTTACAACTCTGCTATCACTTTATTGAGCCTTCTCTAGGATTGGGAAGCCGGATAATTGAAGCCCAGTGGGCTGGCATCAATTTCTTAGAGCTTGTTTTTGAAATTGTAGGTATGGTCAGTGGAAAACTGTCTCTCAGGAGCTTTGCATGTGTGCCTCCTAGGTCGTGTCCTCACTTGTCTGAAAATCCAGTGGTGCTTCCTGCCTGTTTCTGTGTGAGATCTTAATCAGGAGCAGTTCTGGAAAAAAACACCAAAACCCTTTAAACTGGTAAAACAGCACATGGTACAAACAGCTGTACTCTGTGACCAGCTAGCTGATCCTTGCCATGTCAACCTCCTTCCTCTTGTCCCCAATGTGTCCTTTTAATGTGCTGAATAGTGTCCTGGGAGGTTTTTGTGCAGTGTTGCTCGCTGAGAGCTGGTCAAGCTGTGGGGCGAAGGATGATACACCAGACCTGTGTAGCGATATGGCTTGACCAGGAAACCTAAACCTCTTCTTGAAGTTCATCTTCCACGTGGAGACCAAAACATTGCTGTAACAGAGCCATTAGAGTATCTGGGGTTGTCACCTGGGAATGGCAGCGTTTATTCTGCAGGTCACAAATTTGAGGTGGTTCCTCAGCAATTCTTAATTTTGATAACAATTGGCTATTAACTACTCTTTGTCCTTAACAGTGTAGGCAAGGATTAAATCAACAAGTGAGGTTTGAAAAGGCCTGTGCTGTGTTGAGCCCTGAGATGTCCGATGTAAAGCTGGTGCATTTCTTTAACTCTGTGAAACAAACTCAGCAAAGGAAAACCCAACACAAAGTAGACTTCATCCTTAACAAGATGGAAATATCAGAAATGTCTTCCAAAGATGGAAAATGTCAGAGGTGGTTTTGCTTTTCTGTGTTTGACATAGATGTCCTCTGAAATTTTAAGGAAATGTGTTATTTAAGGACTGTTGGTATTTCCCCCCTTTTCCTTCATTTAGTGCAATAAAGTTTTGCTCGTTGTTTGTAATTTGGAATGTCTGAGGAGATTACATTTGAAATAAATTTTAAGGGTAATTTTTAAACAGCTGGGGAGAGAGAAAGTTCTGCATGAGTCTGTATGCTCTAGCGCACTAGTTTCTCATAATTTCTTTTAACTGAGTTATAGCAAAAACCCCACCAAAAACCCCCCACCCTTTGGAAAAAAGTAGAGAATAGTTTTAACCAGATGCCCTCTCTACTGTATGAAAAGAGAATCAGGATTTAAACATGCTTTTCCCCTTTTTATAGTAGTTCAGAGTAAGGAATTGATGCATGACAGCAGTGGGGTAAAAAAACCCAACATTTTCTGTGCTACTCGAACTGGAGCAGAGGAGACTGCAGAGCCTCTTTTGTTCTGGTCACTCAGTTGGTCTTTTCAACCTGTCTCCCTTACAGTCTTTGAAATCTAGTGTTTTCCTTTTCTTATAGCCTGCCCTTTTACTGCAGGATTATTTCTTTTTCATTCTACTTAGCGAGCAACAGAGGAGTGTAGAGGACAAAGCAACCAGCCTTATGGGTTTTTTTTTCGTTTTCAGATGCTTTTCTAGCTGATGGAAATGGCAGAGAAGGTTCAGTTTAACCCAGTAATCTTTTTTTGTTTGAAAGCTCAATTTTGATAATGAGTTGATTGCTTTTCAAACTTCAGTTTTCTGTACAAATGACATATTTTTCAGAAGTTCATAATTAGGCTAAGCTATGGCCTGATTTTCTACAAGATATCAAAAGACATTTCCCTAGGAAAAAGGACAATTACCAAATGTCAAATTCTTGAAAACACAAAGGTGTGAGAACTTACCCTTGTAACTATCAAATAATTTTTTGACCGCGACACACTTGTCTCCAAACTCATTGGAAAGTGCTGAAACACTGGCTTTGCTCTCTGAAACATAATACTCAAAATATCTAATTAACTTCTTCCAGGTCAAATGGCTCTGGTTTTGTTTGGGGGGGAAATTTCAACCCATCTGTTAAAGCAGTAAGCACACAAAAAAAAAAAAAAAAAGGCTGGAAGGGG